ATATATATATATTGTTTATAGTATTCAAATATTAAATAATCTCACTAGTAATTAAAAACTATTTTTGTCCTACGATAAGAAATCTATTATGAATAGAAAAGAGGAAAAGAGTTAACAGGAAATGTTCAAATCCAAACTGATTTTTTAATTTTTAATTACCTTAAATCATGGCCGTAGAGCTATGTCAAAAATCACCAAATAACCATCATCAGTGACCTCTGGAAACATTTATGTATTTAATTATCCGGACAAGAATCCTTCATTTCCGCAGAATTGGCGTCTTATCAGCCTGCTCCCAACTATGGGGAAATTGGCAGAACGAGTAATCCTGACTAGGGTTAAAACAGCGGTGAATGCCCTAAATATACTTCATGACGAACAATTTGGATTAAGGGATAATCTCTTCACGTAACTACAACTAACCAGAACTGCGCAGCTGATACAAACCGCTCTAAGTAAACGAGAGTCAACCGGGATGATTATATTTGACATAGCCAAAGCCTTTGACAAGGTCTGGCATGATGGCCTAATAGTCAAATTGGCCCTTTTTGGGATCCCTAGTGGTTTGACTAAAATCATTGGTAGCTTCCTGCAAGAAAGGTCCTTCTGTACTAAAATTAACAGCACTCTTTCGTCTGCCCGATCAATAGTAACAGGTGTACCTCAAGGGTCGCCTTTGTCTCCCACATTGTTTAATGTATATACAGCAGACATCCCCACTTTAAGTCTCACGTCAATGGCGCTTTACGCAGACGACACGTGCTTGATCTACTCGGATCGGGATGCCATAAATGTAAGCAATACTTTGTATTCGGTTGAAGAAATTTTTGAAACAGTTTAGCCACTTTGAAATAATCATCTCCAAAACCAAGGTTTCGAATGTCGGCTTGTTCGGACGTAGAAACACGCTCGCTATTCATTTTTTCTTAATGAACAAGAAGAAGTTATTGGATGCAAATTCGGTACTGTAAGGCGGATGAGCTACCAATTCAACGCTTGGAGTACTCAAAAACTCTTTTGTGGGAACTCACATTATCGTAGTGGAGGATGATCTTCCTTCGACGATTGGTTTTCCTCAATTTTTCCAAGACGTTTGCCAAACGAATTATTATGTTCCACTCAGAATGGACCGCTCTACGTTGTTCAAGTGGCACAGTTGCGACATGATTAGTTTTCCTACAAAAACATACGACGCAGTTCTGTTTACTTTGGTAGACTCAAACAGTGGACTGCTGGTTTATTTCGGGCTTATAGGTGTAGAACAATGATTTTTCATTTGTTACGATATTGTAATTTTGTTTCGAGATACCTCAGCCGTATTTTCTCAGTAGTTCCTTGCACGTGCAATCACACATGCCACTCTTTCGAGTGAATGTCAAATTATGGGGAATCCAACGGGAACAAATCTTTTTGGCAGCTAAATGTATATGTAAAATTGAATATATGCCTGACCCACTAATGTCCAAGGACATCTCTATCTCTCGGTGTGTAACATGCCGATCCATCTCAATCATTTCTGGCATTACAACGATATTTTCTGGTACAAAAGCAGTTTTTGGATGACCTTCACAATTTTTCGTCATGAAGAAAACGACGATCACGATTGAACTCATTGAACCAGCGTTTTATAGTCACTAGATGTGGTGTTTCATTACCAAATTATGTTAATCGATTATGTCGAATTATGTTAATCGATGCATTCGTTTCTGTCTAATCCGGGACGAAATTCGTAAAAAATATCACACGATAATGTTCATTATTAAACTCTATTTTTTTAATACAATAAGCCCGCGTAAACTTAAACGTTATGATGAGATTTATGGTAAAAAAATGTCAAACTTTCAACCAGAAATGTCAAAATTCGTCTGATAATAGTGTTACCGATGTGTGAGATTTAAATTACAGCCTACGTATAATATACTTAACATATGTAATATGGTATGTAATATATATCAGATATATAAAATATTGTAGAATAGGAATAGGAATAAACAGGGTACCAGCTCGCAACGAAGTAGAGCACTACGACCATGGTTAATATATTGTGCTGCAAATACCAGAATGTCATTCGTTGAGAACCTTCTAATATCAGAAGGGGAGAGTAGTTCTCGGCTCAGTGATCTCCTCCTGGTTCAGATCAAGGCTGAGCAGTTACAGAGACTGGATCCGCTTTTAAGCAAAGTCAACAATTTATCTCTTCGAACAGACCCATTTTGTTAAGATGATAACGCTGTAGAACAACATCTGCTAAATTCCGTTACCTCACTGCAACGCAATTTACCTTATATCTCTCTAACAAATAGAAGTTAGTACTGAGCACTTTTACTCTCTATTAACTGCGAGGTTTCTTCAAAACCCCTCTTTACACCTTGACTAGATTATTGTTTATCACTTCATCAGACTAAGCAATAATTGACCTCAGATCTGCATACCTCCCCGAGGAGCCTATAACCATTCTGAGATTTGATAAAGCGGTGTTGGTAAGTCTGTCAGATTTCGTAAATAATTTCAAGACTCTATCCTTTATGTATTTTTTTGATGGGATCAATCTTGATGTCTCTGAGGATGTCATTCGTCCTAATGTACCATGGAACTTTGAAACGGCTTCTCAGAGCCTGGCTTTGTGCAATTTCTAGCTGGTGAGTAGTAGTGTTTGAAGCTTTGCTAAACGCTACTGTGTAGACATCAATCCATATTTTTACATATAAAAAAAGGTCTCAAATCAATAATTATAATAATAATAGTAAGTAATTTTTTATTTTTAGTTTAGATAAAACTATGAAGCATAGTTTACTAAACTTTATTCTAGTAGGCGGTAGAATAAATCTCATGATCACAACACTTTATATACTATATATCACACCTACCCATAAGCAAAAATAAAATATAGTTTTGGTACTATAAGTTATAAACTTCTTTGTATAGGACTTTGTACTTTGTATAGATATATATACAAACTGCATATTTCTATAAAACTAAAAAAAAAATAGTTTTTATTTTAACTGCTTTACTCTCTCCAAATATTTGTTCAGTTCCAAATGCACATCTTGCATGAAAATGTTCACTCGCACCAAAAAGGCACACTAATGAGCAATTTCCAGAAGTCGTTCATGAACCTCATTTACCTGCATTCATACGCAACCCACCATTATTTTTGCCATTGTTATGCTGCACAATGAATGCACATAAAATATGTGTTTTCCAAATACAAATTACACTATTTTTGTTGTAATTTATCGTTTTGTTGACAGTGCGTTGTTAACAAACACTTAAATTAAGAGCTGCGTCCAATAAATGCGGGCTAAAAAGGTTTATTGACTTCTGTATTTAGATACTACGAAACTATTAATAGCACAGCAATATTAAATAGAAAATTGTAAAAGTATTTACAGGGTGAATTCCAAATACAATATGAAGAGGTTAATTCCCTCTTCAATGCCGACACTGATAACAGCCAAAAAACTACATCAATTAATAACACGAATATGTATTTCTTTAATGATCCCTTAACTTAACTTCATCTCTTAACTTCATTATCTGTATAATATACGACAGGTTCTAATAGGTTTGGTCCTAACATGTATTTAGTAATATACTTTTGAGTTTTATAAATTGTAATTACTTGAATTCAAGACATACTTACTTACTTACTTATTTGGCCATAACAACCCGATACCGGGTTTCAGACATGATGTAGGTGTCAGATGCTATACATCCATTTGGCATTCATTCGAACCGAATAATATCTAAGGTATCCTCAGGTATATCACTAGTCAAAAATAAATTATATTCAGATTATATATTCACACCACAAACTAAAGGCTGAAGGGCTAAATATTAAAAATAATTTTTATTGTAAATTTAATAGCACCATTCGCCATCCTCAGAAATGAACCCCCCTTTAAAATAGTGGAGTAACGAAACTTCGTAATATAAACCATTATTTTTAATATAGAGTTATTTCGACCAACAATAAAATTTTATTATTTATTAATTAATTGAATTTTTGGCTGACCATGCAGCCGTTTCGAGTAGTGCTAAGTACCTATCTTGGAATTATTTCTTATAATTAATTATTCGTGAATAATTTTCGAAGGCTACAAATACCAAGGGTCCTGCCAATTTTTTAAAAAAAAACTTGTCTTCAAAAAATAATTTTTTTCTAATATCGTATAGGTGGCCCTATCGCTTTGCATTATCCCAACAATGTCTCTGCATCCTGGTCCAAGATCACATTGAGGCCAGATATCCGAATCTTTAGTAGGACTAGAATATGTGCTAAATATTCTGTTAATTTAAAACAGTATAAATTAACAGAACATATAAATTAACAATATATAAATAAATAACATGTATGCCTCCTAGAACATAAGCTAGATACGATATATATAGTCATAAAATATTTACTTAAATTACCAAATAAGTGATTTCTGGGTATCGATCCGACGTAGGAAATCTTCAGAAACATCTCCGTACAGTTTCATACCAGAAATACGGAATTTGAGCACTCCTCTGGTGGTACGGTATTTATATATGTCCACATCATTTTAACATAAATTAAAAATTCGAAAAAATTATCTGGCTCCACCCAATCGATAAACAATGTCAAATTTTAAAAATGTATAGATAAAAATCTTTAAATGTTTTGCATTAAATTTATTATATAACGTAAATTTATTATATATCGTAAATTTATTATATATCGTAAATATATTTTATATGTTATTTATATATATATATCATCTTTTGTTTGTATACATACACATTTTACACAATTATTACAATATTTTTAATTGCATTATTATATGTTCACAATCAGTATTTAGTAAATTATATTAAATATTATTGTTTGAAAGAGAAATTTATCGAAAGTTGTTTTTTTTTGTTATATATTGAAAAATAAAACTGAATTTAGTCGCATGTTAATTTTAATCTTTTTTAACCTAACACGGTTTTAAATATAAATTTTTTATAGTATATAGTTAAAATCATTAAAAATTTGTTTTACAATTATAGTAGAGAAGAGGATATATAAATGAAGTGGTAAAGATTCTAATTATAATAAATATACTAAAAGCAAAAAATTTTTAACAATATATTAAATCTTAAAAATATATACAATTTATATAAATTAATATCTATTAGAACTATAATCTAATAACAGTACTAACGCAACGTTATACTGTCACAACGACAAGCCCAGCATAATTCTTCTTATTTTCCACTTAAATATATAAACGCTTATATTTATACGAAAAATAAAAAAAACTTTTCTGATTTTTCTAAATGGAATTTAAATATATATGTATTATATATATTTTCTACATTCTCCTTGAAGGGCTTTTAGTTGATGTATATTAGCAAGCAATTTCAGTGGTCACACCTTTTATACTCTCAGAATTGAAATGCACGCAACCGTATTTACAGACCAAGGTCCAGACATATGGAATGAAAAACTCTTCAGGTGCATCCTCTTCAACATATTTAAATTTTAAATCAGGAAATTTCTACAAGAAAAAAATATATAAATACAGAATTAAATAAAATAATTTTATTATTGTTAATAGATTTAATACCCTTAATCGATCACTAGACCATTGGCTAGCTCCTTTTGATATAACTTCGAAGACCTCATTAACACCCAATTCTCCGCGTTGTTCCTGCACGCGCTGCAAACGTGATGAAAAGAAACCAACGACCTGTAAAGAATTATTTTTTTATATTATATCTATTTAATGCCAATTAAATATGTTAACAGTCAATTCCTAATATAATGACTACGTTTTAACAAACAATGATCTGGATCTTCTTTGCGAGTCACAATTAAAAGTAGGTAACAACGCTACATATACACTCGCTGTTTATATATTTATAGAATAATGTTATCTTCTATCTCCTTGTTTTCATTTGTTTCTCCCAGAATTGGTTCTGCTCCAAACTAAAGTCAGCTTTCTAAGCCAACTCGTTCACCAATTCATTGCCTTGAAAACTACTGTTTGCAGATATTCTGATTGAAGCATAGTTTTATAAGACACTGAGTGTCTTCCAAACCAGTTTGCAGTTTAAAAGCTTTATTGGTTGCTTGATTACCTCACATGTTATTGTTGCTTTTGTGACAACCCATAAAGATCTATATGGCAGGTTTAAGGCACGGCCGGGTCTACGTCCCGGTGCCACTTGTCAATCTCGACAATTAAGTGCCGTTTAACAACCCCCAAACAGATTTTACAAGCAGGTACCTATGTGTTTGTTTTGGCATTTGTATTCATATTGTAAAACCGTTCATGTTATCTGCTTTTAGATTCCAACGGGTTACCAACAACAACATGTGACAGATAACACGAAAGAACGTGTAAATATTGCATGGGTGTGGATATGATCATTGGACATGATAATTACACTTTTGTGTCTTAAATTTTCTGGTCTGTCTACTTCAGATATTTATAGCACAGATTTCAGTTAGGAATACTGGTGGATATTCGGTCCTTTGATTTGCTGATTCCTGCACTCGATCCATGTTCAGTTTTGGAATCATCTATGTTTTCATGTTTACATGTTTTCATACTGAACCTTATATGAAAATGTCGCATTGCAAACATTTTTTATTAAATACATTTTGCACATATATTCCATTTCGAATCAGAATATTAACCACCTCATAATTTCTTCTCCATTTTCACATTGTTTGCTGTAAAGCGGGTAATACCTCAATAGCTATTTTGAATTATTATTTATCAAAGTCATATATGACAGAAAAACAATCTTTTAATAGAAGTCGATAAGTACTACGAAAACACAATAACAAAAACTATTTTTAATCAATTGAAATAGCCATACAGCTTTTTTGAATATGGACTAATATTCATCACCGGTAATATTTGGAAATATTTATTGATATGGATGATTCATGTAAACCAAAACATTTTTTAGTGTTTTATTTATTGGAATAAGCATATACTATTTTATTTACTGCAATAAACATATTTTTTTTATCAATTTTATTATTCGCACATCTCAATCATATCATAAATGACGTATAACTTGATTCATTCGGGCAAAGAACACTACAAAAAATATTTTCATAATTCTGGAATGACGTATTATTATTTATTGTTGTTTGGAAACTATTATACAATTATAAAATAATAATATCACTTTATCAAACAAACATCTGGTAACAATAACATACCCTATAAGTTTTAAAACGAACCTTCCCACCTTTACCACTTTCTGAAAATAGTAATATCCTAAGAAACTGAGGAATTTATACTTTTACTAGAAAAAGCTAAATAGCGACAATAAATTTTCAATCATTTCTTCCATCCCATCACTCTCAAGGTACAAAAACAAAAAACTAGCATTCGACCTAATAGAATTTTTTGAAACTTCTTGAATTTTCTTCATTGTTGTTGTTGTAACACGCTGGAACCTACTTGTGAAGTGCTTTTGAGTAGGGTCGAACGGCAGGTACTTGATCGTCGCTGGCGACGAGTAGTTCTGAGATATAGACCAAACCGTTCTTGCTACCTCTGCATTTTTTTCAAGACCACTTTTTTTAACATTAACTTGTCTTAACAATTTATAAAAATATTTACTAAACTTATAGTTGCTGAAAAAGTAGCTTACCATATCAATATTTTGTATAATATCCTGGAAAGCATGATGACTGCGAAAACCTTCAAATACGCTACGTTTGTAGAGTAAAGTATACACCAAATTCGGACAATACACTAATTGATTCGAAAGGCAAGAGTTTAAAATTTCCAATACCATACGCAAAACCTCTTCCAGCACAGTCAAGTCTTGCAGCATGTCTTCCGGTGTTGTGGATACATTAACAAAAACCGAATTATTGACAGGTTCTTTTAGTTGCGTATCAAGGCGTGTATGTTTACGTGCTAAAGTCTCAAAAAGTGAAATTAAACGTTGCGCCACATATGGATGTAATGATCTAAATTGTCCAGACATATTAGCCAATGCAGCTAAACAATTTGTATGCAAATATTTATCACGCATTTTTAGCATATTATATTGTATAGTACGTATAACGACTAAAATGAGAAGGCCTCCTAAAGATATTTCGGATATGGTGCGCTCTGTGTACCAGCTTATGTTTTTTAAAATCTAAAAAAAGAATTGTTTAATAAAATATTATTGTATAAAAATTAATTTTTAACTTACTATTGTATGTACGTTTTTATTAAAACTATCGTCCTCACTCAATATCAATAGCACAATCAATGACATATATATATGATGAGAAGTGCTATCAGGTGCATGGTAGAGTGTTTGTAGTATTGGTATCACTAGATTTTCTAAATCATTTTGCGCCATAACATATCGATAGAAACGTTCATTACGATGTAATAAAAGATAAAGCAGCAATGTGGCTTGATCTATGGTCACAATACGGCAAAGTGTCTCATATACGGCAGAGAAATCAATTTGAAAACTGGCGCTGTCCTTTGGCGAATCTTTTGAGTCAGCGCAATTAAATAAGCTAGTGCGATACGGATTATTCTTAGCAGAACAGTGATTAGTTAATATTAATATAAGTAGAAGACTTTGATTTGCTAATGGATAGTAATCACGAAATTGTGGCGATAGCTCTATGCTGCTATTGCCGGTTGATTTTAATAAATCGGGTTGTTTACGAAATGAAAATATCGAGAGTAAAGATTCAGCGATGCCAAACACAAATGAGCCAGCCGTTGAGGAGCCAAACATAGTACTTGGCACTTCTACCATACGCGAAACAAAATGTAGCAAAGCAGATGTGAGCACATTGGCATGTTGACATTTATAAATAGTTCTGAAAAAAAATAAGCATAAACAATAAATAATAAATAGTAAATAATTTAATAAAACAAACCTAAATATTATGGATTTCTCAGTCGGCTGTTGAGTGAACAAATGCACAGATAACAGTGTTATAATGGTGTTAACTGCTTCCAAATGTAAGTGATATGTAAATTCCCTAAAAGTGAAAAACTTAATTAAGAATAATTAATTAATTTAATTTGTTAAAAGACATACTTTACGGGAATTACTACAATTAAATTCACTATAGCGTCTATAAAAGTTTCGAACTTGGAGCCATCAACTACTATATTGGTTTTTGTTGTATCTTCCACAGCTTCAACAGCAATTGCTGTGCTTTCAGGTGGTGCACCAGCAGCTGCTGCTTCCTCCTCAGCGCGTAGTAGTTCAGCATTCGGTATTGCTTCGAAATGTTGTAATAACTGAAATTCTGAACCAGTTTCTATAATATATTTCACTAAGCAACGTATAATAAACAAAGCATTAAATGTCTGCCAAATATGTCGGTTACTAGAAAGAATATTAATATGGAAATAATATTGAATTGAATATAATTAATAATATGGAAAACAAATATTTACCTCTCCTGATCCGACAATGACAGTAGTTCAGATACTTTTTCTAGAAAAACTGTTATAAGCGAACCCAGATTTCCTGTCTTTAGATTATTACTTAAAAACGATTGACACAAACCCTCCAAACGTGAATCTAAATTTAATTGATCCTGGCTACAAAGCAAAGAAAATAAATGAAAGAATATTTATGTCACGTCACTACTGCAAGCATAGTTCCTACCTGTTTTCTGGCATTGTGATATGATAATTTAATATGCCATTCCAATAATCCACATTTTCATAGGGTATATGTGATCTTCCAACGAAACGTTGCAGGTACTCATTAGCCGATAAATCGGCGTGTCTGCTTACGTTGATTCCCATTACTCACAACAGTGCCAAGCACCCAACCACAAACAACACCAAAAACGACAGCGACTTCTCAGTTACGCTGTTAAAATAAAATAAAAATTGCTATTTCGCTCGATTCCCTCAATTAATACATTTGTAGTTGCTCTAGCTCTAGCCGTCTTTTTTATTTACAAATAATTTTAATAATTTTATGATTTGTCGGCAAAAATTTTAGCTTATGTGGAAAAATAATTTCTACGTCATCGTGTTTGTAGATAAAACAGATAATACAGTTGATTAACAAATAAATAGCAAAGATGAAGTGTCAACAGCTGTTTACAAACAGCGGCGTTTGTACAGCGGTGACATATACAGCAGAAAATAGTAACTTAATGCCAGCGGCTGTAACTGTTAACTTTTCAAGTACATATTTTTATTTTTAAAAAATTGAATTTAAAAATTTTATCAATTTAGGCCGTGTGCGAGTTCAAGTAAATTGAGGTGAAGTAAATTGAAATTTCCTAGGGATTTTTTACACTGCACTTATGTAAATATTTATTTATTTATTTATTGCACTCATATAATATTTTTGGTGTTTTTAAGTTTATTTATTAAACATCTTTTAAAATTTTCACAATGGTAACACCTAATTTAATTTATCTAATTTACCCTACTTGAAATTGTGGTAAATACCAACATTCGCTGCTATACCGACGTAATTACTATTTCCTTCAATTTACCATCAATTTCCTCGAACTCCCATACGGCTTTAATACTTTTTAATAATTAATTAAAAATAATTAATGGAATTTATATTCGTAAAATGTTATTTAGATATTGATATTCACTTCACACCGTGTGTAAGAGACTAAATCCACGTTACCATTTGTCTCATTTAAGCAGTTTTGTTTATTCAGGCCGTTAATGAAGATAATTTACCATACAAAACGCTTTTATTTGAATGAGCTCATTATAAATAAATCAACTTAAGGCGAAAAATGCCAAATGCAACCCTTAAAATAAATTTCCCAAAAGGGAAATTATCGAAGTTAAAAATTTGTTATATGTTTTATATGTAAAATGTAAACAAACAAGCTATTGCACATGCATAAATCGGCTTATGCAAATGGAAACGAACAAAACTGAATTTCATTACCATTAGTAGTTTTAGTTGCAGTGGAAACATGACATAAAATTCAATTTAACTTAAATGGCTAAATTTTCTGTATTGATAAATATCAGAATTTTCTCTTTATAAGCTTAGTACTAACATCCATTTGATTAACGAAAAATTCATATATGTAATCATATTATAAAAAAAATTTTCTTCAATGTCCAAATTTATATATATTATTTATATAACATAGTATATTATTTTTTTATTTAAATTTTTGAAAAAACAGTTTTTGTTCTTGATGCCAGAATCTCTGGTAATTACGAATTGAGGTTTGAAACGATTAATATATTAAAAGTTTTAAGATTAAGAGAATCAAATATCGTATCTTTAATAATGTTCTTACGAATAATTAAATAATCATTTTTGTCTTAGATTTAAATTTAAAAATTTCTTTCTTTTACTATCAAAAAGTGAGATTTTTAAAAATATTTTTAAAACGGTTTTAGGAAAAATTTTAAGGAAGGATCTGTACGCAAAAATCTTTATTCATTATTTATTCATGAAATAAATATTTTTTATAAACCCCTTAAAACTTCTCTTATTGAATTTCACTCTATTATTGTCTTAGACCCAGACATCTAACCGAATAACGACTAGCAAAACAATTTCATACATCAAGCACGGTTTGGGTTACCTTAAATTAATGTTTCCACTAGAAATAAAGTATATTTCTACGTCTTCTTCTTTCAACTGAACCCATAAACATATTTTTCTCTAAAGCATCATCAACTATGATGCTTCGCTAAGCCAGCGAAGATGCTGAACGAATTCGTATTACTCGTAGTTATTTCGAATGCAATAGTCGTGAACTCATAGACGACTAATGATCTTTCCAAGAAGTTGCTCTTGAAAACTTTCAATGTTGCTTCTGTGATAACGTATATACTTTCAGTACTTCCAGTAACCCTTTATCAAAACAGGATTGAAGGATTCTAATATTTGATTATACTTTCATCCATCCGTAATCTGCAGATGAGTCGATGAATGCTTTTAATCTGCTTTCGAATGTTATCAGCACAACACACTGGGTTTAAAAAATCTTTGGCATTTTGTTACTTCTCAATTTCATTTATAAAATTATATACCACGATTTTTTAATAAATAAAATAAATAACGGAGTGAGACATTATTATCTCTCGTATAGTTATTTGTGTGATTATAATACTTTTGTCATTATTTTAGTCAACGATAAGGTGAAAGATCTTATATTCAGTTTGTCATTAACCGATATCACTTTTCCTAATAACCTAATTTTTTCACCTCTTTCTCTAAAAACGCAAATCTGCGTCGATTTGGGTTTTCCATTGCATATCATATATACATTGCTATGTCTGAACGATTACGATTTTCCGGTTTCCAAAAATGTTAGATAACTCTAAAAACGTTCGTTTGGGCAACAAAATTCGAAAAATTGAGAGTAAATCTATATTAACTCCAGATTTATTAATCGCAAACGCCATAAGTTCTCATATAAAGATATTGTAAAGTTCTAAACAATAATTAAAAATATCACATAATTATTTTTCAATATTATTGTAAATAATATTTATTACGTCTTCAGATTAGAAATATTTAAGGATTGTGGTTATCCTTCCTGTTTGCTACTTAATAATATAAAATAATATTAAACATAATGTATTGTTAATAATAATTTTAACAAATTTTGTTTTAATTATAATTTATTATTGTTTCTTTTTATTTGCTTTTTAAGTAATTCCCCAATTTTATTTGTAAAACAAAAATATATCACAAAATAATAATGACTCTTGGTTGGGCTTAGAGTTTCTAAAATAAAAACGTTTTAATTAAAAATATATTTTGCTATTTTTTTGTTTTTTTTTATCTTTAAATTATTTTTATTTTTAACTACTAAGCGAGGGAAAGCAAATTATATTTGGTAAAAAAAATTGTGAAGTGCAATGGAGGGCATACTTAGTGGATACTTGTGTGCTGCATGAGTGTGCTTTTGGCCCCCTTAAAATACATAACTACATACAATACATAGACAATTATAAACTATATGAGAATTATTAGTTGAGCTTAAACGATGAACTAACTTAAATATATAACATTAATTTTTTTGCTTTTAATGACTTAAGAAGGCAATAAAAATAACTGCTTCACTCATTTGGCTTTCCCCATTTCGTAAATTCATGTTGAGTCTCAACGTTTTTGTCACTTCCAGTCTTCATCAAATACAATTCGCTTATCCCAAGAATTCAGTTGTTGTTTTTATAGTTTTTATAATTTTTATTCGCAGTATGATTTCCAATTTGTTTGAAAGTAAATGACATCATCAGATCCGGTTCCTATTCTTTTATTTTTTTTTTTTATTTTAATTTCGTTTCATTTTTGGTTTTGTGTTGCTATGCTATGTTGTTGCTTTATTGGAAACTGCATTTCTTCAAATAGAGTTAAAGTGGTTTAATATTTGGATCCCAACAATCTGGGTTTAGGGCCATTATTGTTGGATAGCATTTGTTTGAGGCTGAACGACGACAAACCAATACCAACTATAGCCATCATAGTAGCAGAACGTGTAACGATCCGATCAGGCGTTGCTGAGACAAACGCACTTGAAGAAGAAGAAGCAGAAGCGTTAGAAGCTTGTGTTGACAACTGTGAGCTCTGAAATAAAAATAAAATTAATTAAATCTTAAAATTTTTATAGAAAAAATACTTAAAATAAGAGAGCAAGTTTGAAATAATACGTTTTAATTTATAAGCGCGAGAAATCTCTTTCTAATCTCTTCCCAAATCTTCTAATCTCAATCTATTGTTCTCATCTCCGGAATCTTAATCTTGAGATCCTCGTCTAATCAGAATAAAATAATCATTGTAACAAACCGCTCAATAAGTCCACGATGTAGCTAAGAAAAATAATGTTTTTCTAGAAATTCAATATCTATAAAGAGGCAGTAATCACTTGAGGATCATATCTGGAGAATATAGTAGTTGGGGGAGCAATTCAACATCTAATTCCATAAAGGAATCCATAATTTATAGCGGTTTATGTCGTATTACTTTTTTTCTGGTGTGTGCCCACGCGGTTTACTTCCAAAAATATTTATACTTGATTTAATTTTCTTTAAAAATTGTGAACACACTATCTTCTGATATCTTTAAGCTGGCAGAAGAATGTTTATTAAAGCTCTAAAATTTTAGAAGATGCTTGCTTTTAACTCCCAAACCCTACCCATTGCTTAAGTATCTGCCTCTAAAACATTCTTATATTTTTCTAAGAATAAATTGGTGAAAATCTGCAGAGGATTGAAAGACTATGAATGAGGACTCTTTAAATGCAATGTTTGTCAATGCATTTACGATATGGACAGATACAGACGATAGGATTTGGATAGATAGACGGTAGGAGATGGATAAATAGACGATAGGATATGGATAGAAAGACGATAGGATATGTATAGATAAACGACAGAATATGGATAGATAGACGATAGAATATGGATAGATAGACGATAGGAAATGGATAGACAGACAATATGATGTGGATAGACAGACGGTAGGATATTGATAGACGATAAGAAATTGATAAATGATAGAATATGGATAGATAGACGATAGGAAATGGATAGATAGACGATAGGAAATGGATAGATAGACGATAGAATATGGATAGATAGACGATCGGAAATGGATAGACATGATGTGGATAGATATGATGTGGATAGACAGACGGTAGGATATAGACAGACGATAAGAAATTTATAAATGATAGAATATGGATAGATAGACGATTGAATATGGATAGTTAGATGATAGGATATGGATACATAGAAAGAGAATGCTTTGTTGTCCACATTGTACAGAAATGGCTTAGATAACCTGTTTGCACTTTTTTAAAATTGAAGCCATGGCTTTGTATAACATAACAAAGCCAACTTGAGCCTCAAAAAGGAGCACATTGTGATAGTCCTTATAGACGTTATAGAAGTTTTGAAGCTGTTCTCTATATTACATATAAAAGAGGTCTGTGTACGAAAAATTTTCTGTGATTTTTCTTCAACATTTAAAATGTTTTTGCTCAGACTAACAGTAAAAATTACGGCACTGAGCCAATTTTACACTCAAAATAAAATTAAAGGTTTTTACACCGATAAATTATTTATG